ACAACTGCTTAGCACACATTTGGTCAAAGGATCGGTTTTACTTGCCTCTTTGACGAGTTGTAATGTGTTAGGTAGAATGGCAAAGTTGACTGACGATATCGGCGAAATGTGGGAATTTACTACGTCCACGGTCCAACTTTGGAATGCATACAATGGACTCCAGACTAGGTGCGTTCCTCTAAGTCTTCCTACCAATATGACCGAGTTGCGAAAACAAGGTAAAACAACTTCAAATCATAGAATGTTTCATTAAAATCGAAAAATGAGATATAAGGTGTAAGTAGGATCCCAGCTGGCACCCTTCCTTGGTTTAGTGTTTTTTGGTGAACAATGGTTTCTAGCTCTGACTATGTCCATCACATGTAGGACGAAACCTCAGCACGAAGTCATCGGGGTCGTAGGATGGTAAGGCGAGGCCCTATTCGCCCAATTCAACAGAAAAAAGTCCAAGGCAACACTCCTGTGATATCCGGTGTGGCTAATCTACGAATCCCTTCGACCCGCCTTCTCAAACGAAATGAAAGATACGCCACTATCAATCCATTAAGGGATTCTTCGAAACCCAGGTTCTTCTATTGTTGGCACCTGTTTTACTTGCATTAAATTGTCGCAGATTCCTCACCTACATCGTACTTGGCATCATCAGTAAGTATCAGCAGCTGTAACAACAGGCTAAAATCCCCCAAAGTATGAAGAAAGCTGATTTCGAAGAATCCCTGAATAGAATGATGTTGGTATATGTCTCTCATTTCGTCTAAAGATGGAAGGGATTCATACGTTGGCCATACCCGAAACCGAAGAAGGATCACATTGGAGCTGTGACTGTTAACTTATGTTGTGTCAGCCTTTTTATTCAGATAAACCCTTTCTGATCTAGCATTGTTAGAGCCGGATGTCCCGCTTTGCGATAATTCACCAAACACGAAGATATTTCTTGTGTACCAAAATCACTAGTGACAATTCAAGTAACTTAAAAGATTTTCTGTTAACGGTTTTGACATATCTCGATACATCTTAGCCCTACATAGATTGTTAGCTATAGATCTAAGTAAACAAAATAAAAAAGGCTTAGAAGAAAGAAGTAATTAATCTAACAGTGATATCTGTTAACATTTGTACTTGATGTGGTACAGTATAACAAAATAAAAGTAAAATGATAAGTGGTAATGCTTATTTGAGAGACAAATTCAATTCGATCAAATAGAACTCACGTTTGATATTATTTTCATGAGTGTGGAGTAAAATGGCTTTGCTCAAATCACCAATTGGCTAAAATGAATAGGGAATATAATAAAATAGGGTGAGCTAAACAGCTTAACAAGATTTTCTTATAAGAGAAAAAAACAAAGCGAGTGCACTCACCGACTTCGGATGAGTGGAGTTGGGCAATGTTGTAGTCATCAACAGCAATTCCTCAAAGGCAGCCTCATTAGCCAACTTGGCTTGTTCATAGAGTGAAAGCTACCAAGAGGAACAATGAAAGGAACAGTGAAAAGAACAATAATATATTATAGATGAATGCTAAAGCCTAGTAACATTTGAGGAAAAAAAATAAAGCCCCTTAACCGTCTAAAAGATATCTATTATATAAAACAACTTGACGAGTGGTAAAATAGTGAGGAAAAATAAGAAATGCCTGGTACACTGAGGAAATTATCAACCAGGCGGAGTAAGGCCCCATCGTGGAATTTGCTTCAGCAGTACCCAAATTTGTTACCATAAGTGTTCTAAAGTTGAAGATATACCCACTTTGTCACAGGGTCCTACCGTAAATAATTAATGAGGGAAATTTTGGAGGATAGGTTTCGTTTAACTTACAGTACTAACAAGAATCTACTGCAAGAGTCGATTAAAATGAATCAAATAAAAAAGAGGTTCTAATCAAGCCCTCAAATAATAAATGCACCCTCGTACAAAAATGAAAATAACATTGGACTTTTAGAATAACAATAATATCGAGTTTACTGAAAAGGCACAAAATGCCAAAACTCAAGTCGCTCAAAGCGAAGGACCGATAAGTGAATTTCCCAAAAATAAATTATTGGAAAGCTTCATGACATTGAATTTCACAAAGAGGCTTTCTCATCGAGACTGTACTACAGATTTGATCCCATCTGAATCTCATCAGCACCCCCAATGAGATTGAAAACCGGATAGTGCGAATTTAGCAGCAACGTTACCACTTTTGAAAAAAACAATTTGACGTTAGTAATAGGCAGCTCAAAAGTTATCAAGAGCCTTATTACTATCCATATGCAGTAGTTTATAATAATACTATCTGGCTAATGTAGAATTTGGCTTACGATAAAATGAAGCAAGTATTCGATTCTTAAGTCGAATTTCACTCAATAATGCACCTCAGGGTGAACCGATAGACTAGTTAAAATTAGCATTATCAGAGGGATTTGAAAATAAGAAGTGTGGGCTGAAGTGTACAAAATAACCCACAAGCCACACAAACCAAGCCCTGTTGAATTAAATCATAAACAATATTTTCACGACCAAGCTCGAATCTTTACATTTACATTGTGAGTGGGGGGGTCGCGCTAGACTTTACTTCCTCAAAAGAAGTTTGGGCCTTAGGAAATAGATATGAAGAACGAGATGGCGTGGTCTTTGGTTTGGTCACAGTGTCCTTTAGTTAGATAGTGTTGGTTCGCAACTTAATCAAAGCGTTAGAGACCTTGTGGAACGTACCTAGTCTTGTATCCGCTGGCATAGTATTCGTGATTTCCAGTATCAGACCATTGACTTGGTACATTCCCAGACGCTTTGCGAACATCATTAGTGAAAGCTGCCATCGTCAGGACAGAGATACAACTTATCAAAGTGACAAGTGAAAACAATCCACTCTTCACTTTTCCCCATTAATAGCGAAGAATACACTTCCCTCCTCTATCAAGTGGACACTCGCATCTAATCCTATGGTACCAAGATGAATTTGTTTGCTGGCTGAAATCCACCGAGGTCAGGCACGTCACCAAGCCTTTCTCCTTCAGGCCCAGACACAAAGAAAGCACAGAAACACTCACACACACACACTGGAGATTTATATCAGGAAAACTATACCTCTGGCCTTTAATTTAATATCCAGCGTCTCACAAGAAAACCCCCTCCCTGAGGTAGAATTTTTAGCCGATGCCAGGTTTGACTCCACTCACTGCAATCGCCGTTTCTTGGCTTCCCTTTGTCCCCTATGCGCCTTCCCATGGTAATGTTTCATCCTGATGTTGAACAGTTGTCCTGGGTCCAAGTGTCTTCTTTTTGATGACTTCGCTGAACCATCAAGTCTGCCCAGGCAGTACGCGAAGTTATCGTTGACCCTTCTCTACTCTAATCTCCTGTTGATGAAGTTTCTTTGGCTCATCACACCTGATATTCACCCCGACCCATTTTCTTTCGATCGACTAATCCGACTCGGGCCTCCCATCCAAATTTCCCGCATGGTCCCGTAGATCCGTTCCTTATTTTACTGTTTGACTGATTTCACTCGCTTCCAGTCCCAATGTGCGCTATTTCTCAAGGCCATAGAAACACGTAGACTGTCGCCTCACCGAGCAGAGCGCTTAGGCTCTGATTCCCATGCTTGCATATCTCAGGCATTGCCATCACAGGTCGTCTCTCTGATTAAACCCGTGTTACCTGAGCAAACTTTGGACGCCTATCTCTGGTCGAATGCGGCATCTCAGGTAGATTCCTAGTACCGTTTGGCCATAACATCGAATTTATGTGACGGTTTGCTTATCCTTCTGCCTAGCCCCCTGAATACGAGACCCCCAAAGTTGTACTCGTTTATTAGAAACGGAAATCACTCACTGACAAAATCTTTGATTGATTGCCGAAACTCCTCGCCCCCCCCTTTCCTCATTGTGATCCCTTTTCCTTCGGTTAGCGGTAGATCCTTGATACAGGAGTCTTCTTTTTGTTAGTCTTGTTCTATTCTTGTTTTCCTTGAATTTACTTAGGCAGTATGCAAAGTTATCGCTAACTCCACCTGCTTCAATCTCCTGTTCATTAGATTTTCCTCCCCAAGCATGCCATTGGTCACCCTAAGCTTTCGCTTCCTTGTGCTGTCCCCGTATGACCCTTCTTTTTATTGTCTTCCAATTGATCTCGTGTCCAGTCTGTGCGATGTGTTCCACTAGTTCTGATCTTTCGGTATCCATTTTCCTGCAGAGCCTTTGATGTTCCTTCATCCGTATGCTAATTTTTCTCCCTGTTTCGCCAATATATTTCTTTTCGCAGGCGCCGCATGATAAACAGTAAACTCCTTAACAATCCAATTTGTCTACCCTCTCAAGTTGCGTCGGTAGACTTGTGAAAAGCGTTTATTTTTCTTTCATGGTCACTCAATATTGGCCGTAGTTTTTGAGTTAGTTCACAAGAAGGTAGGCATATCCACTTTGGTTAATACTTCTCTGTCCTTACTGTTCTTTCATAGTCCCTGTTCTGCCATCAGCTATTTATAGCCCGTATCTTTCATTGCATTACTGCTCTTGGGTAGCCATTGCCGAGAAATATCCTCGCCAATTTTTCCAGCTCCTCGTCCCAGAATTCTACATCCTTCAAGCGTACGCTTCGGATGATCGTGCTCCCCATTATTCCTATCTTTAGCCTGTAATTGTGGTGGGACCGGAAATTGAGTATTATCCCAACATAAGACTTTTTTCTGATAAATTTCTTTTTGAGCGTCCCATTAGAGTGAATCACTTCAACGTCCAGGAACGGTTACCGCTCATCTTCCTCTACTTCCATCGTAAAGTGAATTTTTTCATCAATCTTGTTTACAAACTTCAGAAACTCTTCCAGTTTTTCTCTTTCATGTGACCAAATTAAGAAACAATCATTCAGGTTCTGCATGAGCACTCCCGTTTGTAGCTGTGCCATCTCGAAGTTCTCTTCTATTTTGTTCATGTATACGTTTGCCAAAAGTGGTGAAGCGGCGATTCCATGGGAAGTCCAAATATTTGTTCAAAGATACTCCCGTTGAATGTACAAAAGGTTGTCCTTATTGTCAAGTTGATTAGTATTGTTAATGGCTCCCTCTTGATCCGTTGTGATTCCAGGATATCCTCCTCTCGGTTCAGAATTTCCAGCAGGGCCGTTAGTGCATTTTCTCCAGAAATATTTGTATACATGAATTCCACATCGAAACTTAACAATAAGTCTGTTTCTTCCCGTGCCATGTATTTTATTTTTTAAGAAAATTCATATGAGTGTTTCATCGTTTTATTTCTTAAGTTTCATACATATGCATTTTGTCAATTTGTGAGCTGCTCCATAATTATTGTTGACTATCAGCCTTGGTGGCTCGCCTTCTTTGTGTATCTTCGGTAATCCGTAGGCTAATGGTGGTCGTGCATACTTTCTTACGATTCAATTGGTTGTCCATGCGTCAATTTCCCCGTTCCCATGCATATATTTCAGCATGTCACTTAAGATTCCATTGATCTTCATAGTTGGGTCTTTCTTTAGTTTACGATATGTAGTCCTATCTCGTAGAATATGTTAAATCCTCTCGGTATATTGCTTTTGTACATAAACACTGTCGCTCCTCTTTTATCCGCTTGAAAGACTAATTGTTCATTCGTTTCTAGGGTTATGCGTATCCTGGCAAATTTATTCCTGTGTCAAGATCTTTGGAATTAGTTTCATCTTCATTTTCAGTTTTGTCTACCCAGGGAAGTTGTCGGAGATATTGATAACGTCCAGCAGGATGTCTTCTATAAGGTTTTTGTCATATTGAATTGAAAAATAGAGTCCTTTTTCCAGGAACGCGGTTGTTTCGGGATTGAGAGGAAGTGATGATAAGTTTAGCACTTTCTTCCTATCCTCGTGCTGATCGGTAGGTGTTGTCACCTTGGAAGCCACTTCAACAGGGCGTAATGGCTTTAACTTAGGCTGTCTTATAATCCCAAACTTACGCAATTTATCGTCATGCAGTTTTGTTATTAAGTCAGAAATCACACGTGATTTCCTGTCGGTCATGCTCTGGAGTTTTTGAAAATCTTCCGGAGGCAGGATACTGGCCAGATAACGCCAGAACATTGAATTAATATCTATAAATTTAAACTACCTATTCCCCTCTGTAACAAGTCTCACTTAGTTTCTGAATATAAGCCTGGTTGAGATAGTCATTAACCTTATTCGAGTGGTAGAGTCTCTTAAGGTCACAGAATTTAGGAATGATACCATAACGTTTACAAAAGTTTAAAAAAGTAAGATGGGAAAATTGACTTACAATTTTCTTTTTTGTCCGGCTGTATTCAGTGCATTGTCTGGCAATTTAACTACCGTAGTTTAATCGAAGCTATAAAGACGAAGATGGTGTGGCCCCCGGTGAGTGATGTCCTTTTCGAATAAGCCAGTATAGCAGGGAGCTAGGCAGACGGATAGGCAAACCGTCACAGAAATTCGACGTTATGGCCAAACTGTACAAGATAACCACTTGAGATCCAGCAAGCGAAGAGTTAGGCGTCCACAGATTGCTCAGGTTACGCAGATTTAATCAAGGAGACGACCCGTGAAGTCGATGCCTGATATCTGCAAGCATGGGAATCAGAGCCTAGGCGCTCTTTTCAGTGAGGCGGCAATCTACGTGCTTCTATGACCTTGAGAAATAGCGCCTGGAGTAAAGCGCACACTTGGACTGGAATCAAGTAAAATCGGTCAACCAGAAAAATAAAGAACGGATCTACGGGACCATAAAGGAGATTTGGACAGGAGGCCCGAATTGGATTAACCGATCGAAATAGAGGAAT